TCTATGGGGGATGACCATTGGGGTCATCTTCCTTACTTTGGGATCGCGATAGGCTACCTTCGATTAATCGACATTTTGTCTGTGGTTAAGACGAGATCCCATTCTTTCGAGTCCCGATTCAGTCCACTAACCAATTGACGACTAACTAACCACTAACCTTTACTTTCTGTCAAATATACAATTGCTTTAATTTTCTGTCAAATATCAACTGCTTTATTTTTCAGTCATTTATATTCTTGTACACATTATATATTCTGTATATTATTATCTTGTATATATCAAATACTTGTACATTCTCTCAAAATACTTAATAAAATATCGAAACCTTAAAATCCTAATTGGTGGACTGTTGATTATATATCTTGTATATTATCCATATCCTGTGTATATTTTCCATCTCTTTGGCAGGTTCTCGAATCATCATCAATAAGGAATCAACTTTCCTTTGTATTGGATTAAAAAGAGAGGGTTAAGTGTAGACTTCTCCCTCTCCGAGTGTCGAGATGCTCACTGTAGTGTGGGTGGTTTCAATACTCGTCTTTCAATACGAAGACGACATTCTCTCTCCTCCTAAAAACCTCGGTCCCGCACCGAGTGACTTTTCAAACCTTCCCTCCTAAAACCTCGGTCCCGTACCGAGCGCATTTTCAAACCCCTTCAATAAGGAATAAATTTCTCTCCGTATTGCATTAAAGAGAGAGGATTGGGTGTAGACCTCTTCTTCTCCGAGTGTTGAGATGCCCACTGTAGTGAGGGTGGTCTCGATACTCGTCTTTCAATACGAAGACGCGACTTCTTCCACCACCTCTCCTTTCACAACTCCTTTCCGAAACCTTTCCCACCTAAAACCTCGGTCCCGTACTGAGTGCATTTTCAAATTCCTTTTCATACAAAAACTTGAATGGTCGTGGAGTGGTTAGGCGTAGGCCTTCTCCTATCCCGAGTGCTGACGTTTACCGTAGGGTTCTCTGTCGCAAAGCACTTACCATTCAAAACCAAAAACATCTTTAATAAGAGAACGAAGTTCTCTTTACATTGAATTACAGAGAGAGGATTGGGTGTAGATCTCTTCTTCTCCGAGCGTAGGGATGCCCACTGTAGTGAGGGTGGTTTCGACGCTCGTCTTTCAATACGAAGACGCTACGTTCGCCACACCTTTTCACAACAAAAAACTTTGAGATAAAGAATTGGGTACTACCCGTAGGGGTTACTATCCGAGGACCTATCTCGCTCCAAAAACAATTCAACCAATCAAACGTGACACCTTGCCTCGCATGGCGAAAACCAGTCTTTCAATCGGATATGTTACGTCCGTTCTACCGCAAACAGGTACGCATAAGTCTCCTCACATGCGAGCAGCAAAACACCTAAACTGCTAGAATGCGCACGATAACATCATCCACAAAACACACCGGTTATCCGCACCGTAGGCACGAACTACGTTGCTCTGATTTCTCATGCATATTGAGAATACGTAGGCATAGGATTGCGATATCCTAGCGAGCACCCTTTTTTCTTTTTCACCCCTTTCCCAGAAAGGCATGCTACGTCCGTTCTACCGCAAACAGGTAACGCCTAAGTCTCCAACGAGCGAGCAGCAATACACCTAACTGCTAGAATGCGCACGATAACATCGTCTACCAGAATTCCCCGCGCACCGTAGGCCGAACTACGGCTGCTCTGATTCTTTACTTTCTCAAGTAAAGATACGTAGGCACAAGGGCCACAATCCTTGCCGAGCACACTTACCTCCTATATTTGTAGCCCCGAACTACGTCGACTCTGACTTTCTCATATCAGTTGAGAATACGTAGGCCTAGGACCACGAAGTCCTACCGAGTCCGTTCTTTCTCCACTCCCCTCTGTTATCTCTCTTTCCCCGTCTCTAATACCCTTTTCTTTATTCTTTGGAACACTCTTTTATAGCGTAATATTTAAACAGATAAAATCACACATCGACAAACAAAAGGTTCCCATCGAGTACGATGGATGCGAGGGGTGCTAATACCTTCCCTTCGCATAACCGGCTTCCGAACCCGTTCTTGGTCGCGAGACCATCTTATCCATTTCTTTCTTAAGGTTTTCTCGATATTTTCCTTTCCCATCATGGGATAAATAAAGTTCGGTGGCGACTCTTCTGTCTATCCTTTTCGCCTCCCCGTCGTTGCGCGATGCATTTTTCGAGTAGCGACAAGACCCAACCGAACTTCCTCCCCGAAACTTGTCGCTGAAGATCGAAGACGATAAAGAAAAGGGGAAGGGTAGCTCCAAATTCCAGATATTCTCACACCAGCTCGAATGCCTATATGAATGAAATCGAGTTTAGATGTAGTTGTGAAGGCGCCAGATCCAGATGCATGAAGAAATTCCTCTGAAAATCCGTAAAGGGCAGCCTTAACCCTATCTCTTTGAAGACATATTCATACATAGGGAACCTCTTACTGTATGAAGAGCAAATGCGTTCGTCATCTCCAAGGAAATGGACCTTCCACACTCCCTCGGCTCCAACCAACATGAAGGCGTCTCCGGTGTAAGAGGAGAAGAGAGAGACATGCTCTCCAGGTTCTGCAACAGACCACTCCTCCACGGTAGTCCTCAAAGTAGGTGTTTCACCAGCGTTCTCGGGCGTGGAAGTATCTTCAGTATCGCTATCCTTCGAGGAGCTCTCCTCGGACAGATCTCTCAAGATTTCATCCTCAGCTTCGTGTGACATCTTCTTTACCTGAAAAGCAAAGGACAAAAGTGAATTTGATGACAAAGTCAAATCCACCCTTCCACTGCTAGTCAAGTGAAAGGGCGCGCGAAGACTCGAGGACAACGTCCCCGACCTAAGCCCTACTCAAATGGCACAACTACAGTGTGAGGAGAAGCCCGGGGAAATCCCTCTAACACGCGCAGGGAAAACCTCCTCGGTACACTACCCATAATTTCTGCTGGAAAACCACCAGAAAACTCATAAGTACACCAAAAATTCATGGTTTCCACCGACGATGAACGCTTCTGTTGTCACAACAACTTCAGAATTAACTGAAAGGGCTAAGCTTCTAAGGCTCCAACGACGCCGACAACAGTGGAAAATGTCCAAACCACCGCCAGCCACCAACAGTCACCAGAAACAACCCCTACACTACCTAGTTTCGCCTTAACCACATGCAATATAAAAAAGCAGAAAGTGAAAAAAAACCTGTAACAAAGATCAGTTCAAGTACTTACGTGGTCGAGGAAGAAAGTTTAGTGGTTGAAGAACTTTGGTCGGTGCACATACGGTGGTGGGACGACGTTGAACAACGGCGGACGGCGGAACACAGAAATATAGAACAAGGGAAGAAAGAGAAACAAAAAGTGAAAATGAGTAACTTCTCCCTCTATTTATAGACAGTCCATGGGCACGTGCACAAGCACGCACGGCTAGGGGGATCATCATGACGCTAGTCTAGCCATCATTACGTATTAAATACGACACGTGGCTCGAGGCACTCGTGGCACTTCACCTCTTCAAATCACATAAATCGTTAGGCTCCCTGCACTTTGGGCTCCCCTCCATGCAACATTACAGGTCCTCTGAACACAGGTTCCCTCGGGCACCGAGGAACATCCACATCACAATAACAGGCGACGACTATGTCTGGTCCTTCCCTGGACTACGGGCTGCCCTTAAGTCATCACTCTCATGCTCAGGAGCAACGACTTGGGGGGCTCCTGTTCCGGACTGACTGAATGGCTAGACATGGCCCAATCCGCTTTTACTCCAAGAATGGCCCAATTTCCTAAATCCATCTAATTTAGGGAAACATTTACCTTTCTGCCTCTCTACAAGGGAAGGCTGGTCGGTTGACCTCTAGGGTCAACTTCCATTCCTCGGCAGTTCATGCCTGTCATGCACAGTTCCACCATCCATAAACAGTCACGACGCCTGTCCCCATTATTGCGCCTGTGCCCGTAGTAACGACTAGTTTTGGGCACCTCTACCCGTCTTAACGACTAGTTTCTGGCAGTACCTATTCTTTGCGGAGCGAATATCTCGCCCCGAAAATAGGGACCAATGGTCAAGCGCTGAGTCCTAAAACACACATACTCTGTATTCTTTTCTCTCGACCCTCACTTTAGTATCAGAGTGTCTTGCAGGTACACCCACTCCTCATCTTTCACACCCAACATCGCAGACACTGTCTATGCCACACTTCAGATTCTAATCAGCCGGTAAGATCACAATCTTACTGAGCCACATTTTTTTACAACAATACATTACCAAATATTTTTTTTTCTCTTTTGTCCCATTTGAGTCCAACCTTTCATTACTTCTCTACTTCTTTTCATTATTTTATTTAATTCCATTTTTTTTCTTATTTTTTTCTCCCTTTCCTTCAAATTTTCTATATCTTACTTCTATGACAATATTAATTTTTTATGTTAAAAAGAACTAATACATTACACCTTTTACTATTATTCTCTATTTATTTTTTTCTAATTTTTTCATATTATTTTTTACTTCTTTTTCTTCGTAAATCTTTTTTTATATATTTTATAAAACATCTCGAGACAAATTAACATACTACCGACAAACATATTATCCCACTAATTAAGAGTTATAAACTAATATAGACTACACAAATATTATTAGTTATTTTTTTACCATATGTTATTATTATTTTTAATTCGTCAAATCATTTACGCAAAAGCTAAACCATGAATATATCAAAGATTAAGTGAACTTTCCAACACACCCTAGTTCTCTTTTCCAAAAAGGCCGGTCAAAATTTGTGCCCTTCTCGTTTGTCCTTGCCTGCCCTTATCCCTAACTAGCATTACCCTAATAATGTTATTAATATTTAACATCATCGATCTTCCTATTCTTATATATCATCCTTTCATTCACCAACAATCACAATTCACTTTGCACCTTCCTCCACACATCAAAATCCTCTTTCTTCTCTCTTTTTTTTCTTCTTCCCAAATCTTCTCCTCACATCAAAGGCCAAAATTAAAAACAAAACAAAACAATGACAACATCTGTATCCCAAGAAAACGTTGTTACATTGGTTTCTCGTACAGGCAGAGAGTTGCAACGCTACCGGAAAGGTCGTCGTCAAGTTGTCGGGTTTGTCTCTTCACTCCAACATATATATATATTTCATTTTTTTTACTAAGCCTTAAAGAGAGCTCAAGAAATGCCACTGTTAGGGTGAAAATGATGCATAGGGTTTTCTTTCTAATGAACATTTATCAATAACTGTTCGTGTAGATGCATACCATACAGATACATAAGTGGTGACCAAGCTTCCTTAGGGGAAAATGAAGAATTAGAAGTTTTGGTAATTAGTTCTAAGAAAGGAAAAAGGATGCTATTTCCTAAGGTAAGCTTGTTCATCAAAAAATATATATATTTTTAGACAAATAATTGCATGTTATTTTGTTATTTTGATTTGCAAATCTTGTTAAACAAGTAATTGCATTAAAAACACCAGGGAGGATGGGAAATTGACGAATCGAAAAAAGAGGCAGCTTTGCGAGAATCCATGGAGGAAGCCGGAGTAAGAGGCATTTTAGAGGTGAAGTTATACTTGAATGAGGTTTAGAATAAATAAAAATTTAAATAGGTTTTTGGTTCCCATAAATCCGCAGGAAAATCTGTAAGTTTTCTGCAGATTTTCCTGCAGATTTTAACACTAAAACGTTAACACAACAATTTACCTATGTCAAAAGATTATTTAAGTCATAAATAAAATTAAATGTTGAAGTTGAAATTTATTTTTGTTGATATCGTTGGTGTTGGTGCAGAGTAAACTAGGTAAGTGGAGATTCAAGGGTAAAAACCATGGTTCATCATATGAAGGCTACATGTTCCCTCTACATGTTCAAGAGCAACTAGAGATTTGGCCAGAGCAGAATTTTCGTCAAAGAAAATGGGTACGTATAGAACAAATGCTTAAGTATTTAATTATTTTTGGAAGAAAACGGCATGCATGCATGGAACAACATGGTTTGAATTTGTCCTTTTCTTTTTTATTCCCTTCTCGGCACTTGTTCCAAAATGATTACGATTGTTGAGAGATCAGTGTTTGAATTTTCTATGTATATTTTTGGATATAGATGAACGTTTCAGAAGCCAGGGAAGTTTGTCAACAGTGGTGGATGAAAGAAGCATTAGAGAGACTAGTAAATCGTCTCAAGGGTCAGAAACTTGATCAGCATGTTAAACAATTAGTAGTAGTAGGTTCTGTTCCATGCACAGGAGACGCCAATTCTGACTTGTAAACATGGTAGTTTCCTGGACATTGATGCATAGATAGAGCTCACACTAAAATCATAGCATATGGAATTTGTACAAATGTTACTTGTTAGTATTATAATATATAATAAAAAATTGTGGTAGATTAAGATCACATGCATAGAAGAAGTAAACAATTCAACCACCCATTTTCTTAGTTATAATATGCTGGAAAATTTCCAACTTTTTCTATTAATATAATTTCTATTATTCTAAATTAGGGTCATCTTATAATTCAAAGAATAAAGTTTAAGTTCTTTCAATGAATGAATCAAATGATGGAATTGAATGGGCAACACTCTTCCCACTAAAACCTAATCCAACCGAGGAAAAATATTCCCACTCAAAAATATACAACTGCCTTTAGATTTGATGGATTCTAAAGATGGTTAGTTAAGTGGATCAATCTTATATTCTCGACTAGAGATTCATATGTAATTTAAATTGTACATTTTGGAATTCTCTTAGGTCGAGTTTTTGAAAAATCGAATACGAGGATACAAGTAAGTTGGGTAGTCATAGCTTTACACAGGTCGGAATTCAGTTAGAAGCAGTAAAGCAAGCATGTCGGAGCCGACAGGTGGACAAGTCGTGTCCAACTTCAGTGCTAGGGTATCATATGGACAGTCACAAGATTGCATGGGAGTTGCAAATATTGTTGGAAAAGAAGCTATCAGGTAATTAAAGAGGGCGACAGACGTTATCTGGTGTCACATTAATGAAGGATGTGAAGGGGCATGCATTGTAGAACCATTAATGAGTCAAGCAATATTAAAAGGGAGCTTCCTCTATGAAGGAAGAAGAACTACAAAACTCTCCTAATCATATAGGATGATTGTGGACTCTCCTGACTAACTTCAGAGAGATTTCTCCAAATAGTATTTAAAAAGAATATTTGGCGTCCATCGTGGGACCTCAGTATAACTTTCTCAAGCCTCATATGAAACACATATATTGCATAACATCAATACTATGTCTGGATCATCTGCCAACAAGAGCGAGGAATACCCTCCCCTAGACATGGCTCATCTTCTAGCAATTATGGAGAACCTGCATCAGCACAATAAATCTCTTCAATAAAGTACTCACATGTTACAACAATCACAAAGTACGAAGGAATGGAGGATGAAGAAGAACTCCTTGATCCTCAACCTCTGTCAAAAATGATTTGGAATGATCAAGTTTCAGACAATTTCAAGCCACTCATCTTTGCCATCTTTTGACAAAAAAGGTGATCCTTAGGAGCACATAATATCACTCAACAATCAGATGTCAATAGTTGGGGTTCCAACTCCTTGAAATGAAAACTCATGGCAGGAACCTTCAAAGACGTGGCCCTACGTTGGTATATGAGTCTTCCTAGACTGTCAATTACTAGTTACGAATACCTGACAAAAACAATGGTACAACATTTCTCTGTCAGCAAACATAAAAAGGTGACTATCACCGGTCTATTCGATGTCTGGCAGGGGGCTTTCGAATCCCTCTGAGAATACATGACAAGGTTCAATGAAGAAACCATAAAAGTATCTTATCCTAATCAGTTGTGGGAGCTTTTCAAAATGGATTGAAGACCAGTCACTTTAACGAGTCATCGGCGCAGAAGTCAGCTATTAGTATGGAGGAGATCATGAGCAGAGTGGAATGTTATGTTAAGGGGGAGGAAAGAAACATGGAAATAAGGTCCCGGGATACTAAAGAAAAAACAAAATTCAAACATGAAGGATCTGGGTCCAGGAGAGAACACCAAAAATACGTCCCAAGAGACAGATCAACGATGAGACATTCTCGGATACCCTATAAAAACTTCTCCGAGAACTATACACCTCTTAATAAAAACGGGCCGACATCTTGAAGGAAGTGTATCATCTCAAATTGATACCTTAGCCGTATCGACCTAGGAGAGTAAATGTTGCACTAGGGAACGATACAGGGGCATGATGTGCTTACCATCAAATTAGAGGTCATCATACAGAAGACTATCATCACCAAAACAGAGAAATAAAAACTCTAATCTAAAGAGGTCGGCTATTAACATATGTAAAAGAACCTGATTTAAAGAATACTTCCACCAAAAAAGGGAAGAACACTGAAGAAGTACATGAAATGCGGGTGGCATGATACATACTAAATACCATCTCAAGAGGCTTTATAGGTGGAGGATAGAAAAGCCCGGCTTTTAAAAGATATGTCTGATCAGTAATGCATGTGTCATAGAGCTCGTCGTCTGTAAGAGAAGAGAATATGACTATCATTGGTTTCTCAAGACAAGACTTTGAATGAGTGTTGGTGCATGAAAATGACCCCATGGTCATAAATGTGCAAATAAATGACTGGAGCATCAAGAGGGTATTGATCGATCCGGGAAGTTCAACAGACATATTATACTGGGAAGCTTTCAAGGGTATGATCATGGGCACAGGTGAATTACTACCTTTCAAGGGAACTTTAGTCAGATTCTCTAAGAAGCAAGTTCAGGTAATAGGTCATGCACCTATCATGACCACCTTTGGAAGTGGAAGCAATGCAAAAAGCATCAAGGTGAGATATTTGATCATGAATGCATCATCACCCTACAACATCATAATTGGGAGACCTAATTTCAATTCTTTGTAGGTGGTACTTCCCATCCTTTATTTGACCATGAAGTATCCCCCAGGGGGAGGACAGGTAGGAATACTTAAAGGTGACCAGGGGTTAGCTACGAAGTGTTACAAATACAGTTTAAAGTTGAAAATGAAAACCCTTACATAGGAATTCGGTCACGGAAAACACCCTGAAGGTAAACTTTGTGGATCTCTACGACATGGTAGATCTCAACCCTATAGGTGATCCAACGGAAGATAGCCTAGCTCCAATTGGAGAAGTGAAAAAGGTAAAAATAAGTGTCAAAAGTTTTCGGGTCACACGAATAGGCTTGGGGCTACCCCAAGAAGAAGAGGAAGAGATAGTCAATATGTTTAGAGACAACGTCGATCTCTTCGCATGGAAATCATCTGATATGCCTAGGATTTATCCAAAGGTGGTATGCCAACAATTTTCACTCGACCCATTGTCAAAGGTTGTGGCCATGAAAAAGATAAATAATGGGGAAGGAAAAAGGAAGGCGATTACCGAAGAGGTCAAATTTTTTTTGAAAGTTTGATTTATACAAGAGGTTAGTTATCTTACATGGTTGTCCAATGTGGTCACGATGAAGAAGAAGACAAGAAAATGGCGTATTTTCGTAGACTTCACTAACCTCAACAAGGATATCCCGAAGTACCCCAATCCATTGCTACAAATTGGTAGGTTGATTGACATTGCGTCAGGTTTCTGCTTGCTCAGCTTCATGGATGCCTACTCGGGCTACAATCAAATACAGATGAATCTGGCAGATTCTCCCAAGACGACATTTATGATTGATATGAGCAACTATTTTAATGATGTAATTCCTTTTGGACATAAGAATACAGGGACTACATATCAAAGGTTGATGGATATGGTATTTTCTTTGCAAATAGGTAGAAATTTTGAAGTTTATGTAGACGACATGTTAGTCAAGACATATGAAGGAGTGAAACATGCAGAATACCTGAGGGAGACCTTCGAGCCAATAAGGAAGTACGACATGAGACTAAATTCTGAAAAATGTACTTTCAGGATACAAGCTGGAAAGTTCCTATGATTCATGCTAACACATCGGGGAATAAAAGTGAACCCGAACAAGTGAGGTAATCATTGATATGAGAAGCCCGAAGTCTGTGAAGGAAGTTTAACAACTAACTAGGAGGTTGGCTTATTTGTCTAGGTTTCTTTCTTGTGCATGTGACAAGTACATACACTTCTTTGGGACGATCAAGAAGTGTGTAGAGTTCGTGTGGACGGAAGAATTTGAGAAGGCCTTTGGGGAGTTGAAGAAATTCCTACCATCCCCACCAATTTTGGTGCGTTTGAAGGAGAACTCACCCTCATCCTATATTTAACAATATGTGAGAAGGCCATTAGTTTGGTATTGGTTCAAGAAAGCGAGGGAGATGAAAGACCAATTTATTTTGTCAGCAAGGTCCTTAAAGGGGCTGGAAGTCGATATCATAAGATTGAGCGATTAGCTTTAGCAGTAGTAGTCGCTACCAAGAAGCTTATTGTAATATCCCAAAATTTCCCCCGAGATTTTTAGGTTCATTTTGCATTCCATCTCATTTTGCATTACGTTCCATCTGACCACTAACAGGTTTGTGTAGTCTGTTGTTTTTGCAGGAGAATCACATCATGCACACTTTAACTGTCGAGGGGCGAAATGATCATTTATTTGCAGTTTGTTGACAGATTAGGAAGCAGAGTCATCGTCAGGAATCCCTCGAATAATTAGGGTTTCCATTTCTGAGTTCCGGTATTTATTTGAGGATGAATTGATTTTTACAGCAATTTTTGACGTCAAGATTCTCGTGCCACAATATATTTCTTTCAAGAGCCGAGATTTGGTCGTCAATGGATTTCGGAGACGTTGTTTAATCTTATGGGGCTGATGGTGTTGAAATGTCAGTTGGGGTGGTTTAAATCGATGCGAGATTTCACTCTGCGGAGTTTATTTTAACAGACGCCTATTTTCCTGTTTTTTCTGTTATCTCCTGGTCAATTTTAAAGGAAAACGGTGAGAATGTCGGCTCGCACTTGGATGTATTATATTTGTTTAGTCTTGATTTGCAGCCGAGTTGGTTCATGGCATCAAATTTAGCCATTGGAGATGCAAATTGAATTTTTCAATGCAGAGGATAGTTTTGTTTCGCTGTTAATCGGATTTATCTGTTTTATTAGTTCAAGGTCGTATTTACCATTTCTATTATCAGGCACGAATTAGTTTGGAACATGATTTGTATAAAACTCAGTTACGTCAGGTTTAAGTCGAGCAATATGATTTGTCGAATCCGGAATTGGAATGGCAAAGTTTATTCGGATAATTTTCATGGGGTTTATTTGGACGAATTAATTTGGCGAATTTAATCCA